CTACACCTTGTTATCTCTTAATAAAATTACAACGTAATTTCAAAACCAATCAAAAATGATCATGAGTACATTTGCGTTCTCAACAAAATACAATGATGCACATATTCCACACTTTCTTAACATCTTCAAGACTTGGATCAATGCATTTTAGTAGTGCTTATTTTGAAGAAAAATATACTTATATATACATAAAGTGTTATGATGATGTTATCTGAAAGATTATTTTTGTAATATCATTGGCTAGGCATTTTTCAAAAAAAAATTTTGATTTTGAACACAGGGAAATTATGCCTTTATTCTCTCTCTCTCTTTCTGTGAAACTTGTCTCATCAAAGTGTGAGTTTCAAACCACTGTAAGTTCTCATCTCTTAAGGAGTAGGTTTAATTGTCACCGTCTCCAAAAATAGATTTTAACCAGCTATAACCGATCCAGGAAGAAACCGCATACCAATGTGAATTCAGCTGCAAGCCAGTATTTTAGACAATTTGTGAAAAAGTATTTTTTTGTTTAACTGTAACTTGGCCAAAAGTACTTTTCAAGTGAGACTTTGCACAGTCTTATCATCACAGATCATCATTCTAGAATCCCTTCAGTGTGGAAACAGACCCTTCGGCCCAACAAGTCCACACCGACCCTCAGAGCATCCCACCCATTCCCATCCCCACATAACCCACCTAATCTACACATCCCTGAACACTACGGGCAATTTAGCATGGCCAATCCACCTAGCCTGCACATCTTTGGACTGTGGGAGGAAACTGGAGCCCCTCGAGGAAATCCATGCTGACACGTGGAGAACGTGCAAACTCCACACAGACAGTCACCCGAGGGTGGAATCAAACCTGGGTTCCAAGCCAGAGTGGAAGTAAGTGAGTGAGTGAGTGTGTGTGCACGTGTGTGTGTGCGTGCGTATGTGTAAGAAGGGTAATTAGATATTATTGCACATTTTGAACCATTTGTTGATATTTGTTTAAGTTTTTTTTTGCTGTGAGCTAGTTTTTTATTTGTTACTAATGGAGCCTTGGATGACTTATTTCTGATCATGATATATATACACTCTAAAATATAGTCAGTGATATTGTTTCCCTCTTAAATACAAACTTTTTGCAGTCAGAGAAGAGATAGAACGAAGAAACACAGACACAGACACGCACAAACACACACACAAACACAATGTACACAGACAGACACACAGAACATACACACACACAGACACAATGTACACACAGACACACAGAACATTCACACACATAAACATACATGCACACAGACACACAAAAATACAAATCACATGTTAGAACATGGAAACTGGCAAAGGCCATTATGCCCCTGGAGCTTTTCCAGCAATTCAATGAGATTGCACCTGATCTGTGATTGTAACCTTTTGATTTACAAAAATCTATCAATTTCAGTTTTGAAATAAACAATTTGTCCAGCATCAACTGTCATTTGTGGAAGCGAGTTCCAATCATCCACCAAGCTTTCCAGGTCGAGTTCCCTGATATAATTCAGAAAGGTTTGCACTAATTTTTAAATTTTGTCCCCAGCCCCAGACCCCCAATAAGGTGAGTAGAAAAGAATATTTCTTGGGATCAAATTATTCAGAAGACTTCTCAGAATTTCACACTTTATTGATTGCTTTGTTGTTGCAATAAGACTGTAATCTTTACACAACAGAACTATTTAACAATTATAGCTCAAAATAGCAAAGAAGTTACCTTGTAAATTATACACATTGCAACCACTACAATATAAAGAAGAGACAATTATATGTTCATAAAATGTTTCAGGTTTCAACTTTTTCCTTAATTACTATCGAATAGTTGAAATAGGAAGGCAGTTGCAGTGTTGTGAGGGCCTTTCCAGAGAGCATTTAAATTGCAAAATAAATTGCTGCATTTGAAAAGACTGCATTCCTAAGCTTATTAAACCCCAGTAATTGGTAACAGTTGCTGCACATTGTAATGCAAAGTCTCATTAATCAGCTTTTGAAAGCTTCAAAAGTCTTTTAATATTCTCTGAGACACTTGAAATTGTCAAACACTCAACAGTAAAACAGGGAACTCTGAAAATTAGCACGGTCTTAAAGATTCAAAGTGGCATCCGAAGTGTACCTAGGCGTTTCTGGTAATGACACGGGTCAGATGCCATCTTGGTAAGTGCGCCAGTGGTGTGCACTGACCGCCTGCTGGAGTATGCAGATCATGTAACTTCAAACCAGTGGTGCCATTCTGGAGCTCAAGGTTCCCACTAACACCTCCTAACCTTACACAGCTGAATACCTGCTCAGGAGCGGCAAGAAATCTTGCCAATGCTATTGGAAGAGATCATCAACGACTGCGAGCTTAGCTGGTGATTGATATCTACTTGCTGTTGCTGCAATTTTGCGAGTGTTTTGTGGTTTCGTTTAAAGAAATCCCCGGGCTGCAGTGTGGCACACGCTGTAGGACTTTGTCCAGGCACCAAAGGTTTTGCACACAACACTTGCTCTTAGCTATGCTGCAATAGTCATCATCCCCCTGGGATTATGGCATGAGTGGAAGAATGAACAGACGTGTCAGAGGTGAAAAGGGAAAGTTTCTTGAAGAAGGACAAGGTGCAAAGTACGAAAGACTTTCTACAGGGGGCCAGGAGCAGCAGCTGTGCTGAGGAAACAATGCTTCTACCTGAACTTTAGTTAGGAGCACAGTACCTTCGGTAAGGATGTGCTCACTGGAATGTGCCACCTCCTGCAGCTGCAACAGCAGCCTCACACAGCAGAATATAAGACAAGAGATAGTAGGAACTGCAGATGCTGGAGAATCCGAGACAACAAGGTGCAGGGCTGGATGAACACAGCAGGCCAAGCAGCATAAGACAACGCTGTCACCAACAGAGATGGTGATTGTGACCGTGAACACTGTGCATCAGCTTCCTTCTTGTCTGGAACTGAACGTATTTGGAACCTCTCCCAGTTTTCCAACCACTGCCTGATAAAGGCAGACCCTGAGAATTTGTATTGCGTATTCCATTCTTTCCTCCAGACAGAAGCAGGTAGAGTTAGCATTTAGAGATAATAAGAACTGCCGATGCTGGAGTCAGAGATAACACAGTGAGGAGCTGGAGGAACACAGCAGGCCAGGCAGCATCGGAGGAGCAGGAAAGTTGATGTTTCGGGTCAGGACGCTTCTTCAGAAATGGGGGAGGGGGAAGGGAGCTCAGAAATAAATAGAGAGGAGGGGTGGGGCTGGGGAAGGTAAGTGGGATGGTGATAGGTGAGTGCAGGTGGAGATTGGTCAGTGATGTGGGAGGAGCAGATAGGTGGGAGAGAAGATGGACAGGTCAAGGAGGCGGGGATGAGAGGGATGGTTGGTCACGGGATGAGGCCAGGGGTTGGGAGATTTTGAAACTAGTAAAGTCCACATTGAGACCATTGGGCATTTAGTATTTAGTTTTGAAAGGATTGCAGGCTGCTGGATGCTGCAGACGTGTGTTATTAGCTGCACACATGCTGGTTTTCAGGTGTCGCACGTCAGCTCTGAGATGCAACACATACAGCACAGAAACAGACCTTTTGGTCTAACCACTCCACGCCGACCATAATCCCAAACTAATCTGGTCCCACCTGTCTGCATTTGGCCCACATCCCTCCAAACATTTCTTATTCATGTACTTAGCAAAAGTCTTTTAAATGTTGTAACTGTACCCGCATCCACCACTTCCTCTGGAAGTTCATTCCACACATGTACCACTCTCTCTGTAAATAAGTTGCCCCTCACTTCCTTTTTAAATCTTTCTCCTTTCACCTTAAAAATATGCCCCCTAGTCTTGAAATCCCCCCCCCCCCCGGGAAAAGACATGTGCCATTCACATTATCCATACCATTTTGATTTTATAAACCTCTATGAGGTCACCCCCTCAACCTCCTACACTCCAGTGAAAATAGCCCCATCTTTTCCAGCCTCCCCCTATAACTCAAACCCTCAATTCCCAGTAACATCCTGTCAATGTTTTCTGAACCTTCCCCAGCTTAATAATATCCTCCTTAAAACAGAGAGATCAGAACTGGACACAGTACTCCAGAAGAGGCCTCACCAACGTCCTGTACAACAGTGACAGTCATAAGGCCTTATGCTGTGGCAGCCCTGTATGACTGTGGCTGGATCCCTGTATGAAACAAAAGGGTAAGCACTGGGTAACTAGGGCTGATGACTCCAGTACAAAATGCAAGTTCATGTGGGCAGCGTGCATGTAATAGACCTCCTCTTGCCACACAATGAGCATGGAGCATACTGCTAGCCTGTTAAAACAACACTTGAACAGTCACAATCATTCTGGTACAGTGTAGGTTCACGAGATTGGTCCACTATGAAGGAGGGATTTCCTATGGTGAGAGTCTGAACAAACTGTGTCTACATTCTCTGGAGTTTCAAGCACAGGAGGCGATCGCTCTCATTGAA